GGAGGAGGAGGAGGAAAAGGAGGAGGGAGGAGGAGGAGGGAACGAGGGAACGAGACCCAAGGAGGAAGGAGGAGGTTGAGGAGGAGGTAGTGAGGAGGCGGAGGAAGAGGAGGAGGAGGGAGGAGGGGAGGAGGAGGGAGGAGGAGGAGGAGGAGCGAACGAGACCTGAAGAGAGGAGGAGGAGGAGGAGGGGAGGAGGAGGAGGAGGAACGGAGGAGGAAGGAGGAGGAAGAGGAGGAGTAGGAGGAGGAGGAGGAGGAAGAGGAGGAAGAGGAGGAGGAGGAGGAGGAGGAGGAGTCCTCCAGCTCGACGGGCATGATTCCGACGGGGCGCGGCTGCGGCGGCGCGGGGGGCTGGGCTGCGCCGCTCCAGAGGGGCTCGGCCTGGGAGCCGGCGGCCTGAGCCAGACGGCGTGCTGCGCCAGCAGATTCTAACACGAGGCCAGGACCGCTGGCGGCGCCCACAAGGGTCTCCTCCTCCTCCTTCTCCTCCTCCCCCCTCCTTCTCCTCCTCCCCCCCCTTCTCCTCCTCCTTCTCCTCCTGCTCCTCCTCCTCCTGCTCCTTGCTCCTCCTCCTCCTCTGCTCCTCCCTCCTCCTCTCCGCCTCTGCTGCTCCTCCTCCTCCTCCTCCTCCTCCTCCTCCTCCTCCTCCTCCTCCTCCTCCTCCTCCTCCTCCTCCTCCTCCTCCTCCTCCTCCTCCTCCTCCTCCCTCCTCCTCCTCCTCCACCTCCTCCTCCTCCCTGCCTCCTCCTCCTCCTCCTCCTCCTCCTCCTCCTCCTCCTCCTCCTCCTCCTCCTCCTCCTCCTCCTCCTCCTCCTCCTCCTCCTCCTCCTCCTCCTCCCTCCTCCTCCTCCTCCTCCCTCCTCCTCCTCCGACTCCTCCTCCTCCTCCCCTCCTCCTCCTCCTCCTCCTCCTCCTCCTCCTCCTCCTCCTCCTCCTCCTCCTCCTCCTCCTCCCTCCTCCTCCTCCTCCTCCTCATCCTCCTTCTCCTCCCCCCCCTCCCTCTCCTCCTCCCCCTTCCTCTTGCCTCTTCTCCTGCCTCCTCCTCCCCTCCCCTCCTCCTCATCCTCCTCTCCCTGCTCCTCCTCCTCCTCCCTCCTCCTGCTCCTCCTCCTCCTCCCTGTGCTCCTCTCTCCTCTTCCTCCTCCTCCTCCTTCCTCCTCCTCCTACCTCCTCCTCCTCCCTCCTCCTCCTCCTCCCCTCCGCCCCCCTCTCCTCCCCGTCCTCCCCTCCTCGCCCACATCCCTCCCTCGCATCTCCTCCCCCCCGCTCCCCTCCTCTTCCTCCTCCTTCTCCTCCTCCTCCTCTTCCTCCTCCTCAAGTTCGCGTCGTGTCGACCCCGGCGTCGGTTGCTGACACCGTGGGGGTCGTTCAAACTTGAACGATTGGCCGTCCCGTTGACGCCGGATCGTTCAACGACGGGCCGATCCCGGGCTACGGGCGGCGTGCAACCTTCAACGCACGCGCTGGGGTTGCCGCCGGTGGACACGACGCGAACCTGCTGTATGGTGCGCGTGGGCCTCTGAGAAGGCGGTAGGGCTTCTCAGGAGGCAGGGGCATTGTCAGAAGGCCCCGGGGGGGGACTTAAGAAGGCCTTCTGGGAGCTGGGCGGGGCTGTTGTAAGAGGTCCCCCCGCCTTCTCTCAAGCCTCGCGCCGCCTTCTTAGAGGCCCACCCCCTGTATGGGCGCCGCCACGACAGGGACAACATCGGACCGCGACAAATCGGGGACCTCCGAGATGAACAGGCTGAGACCCCAGGACGTCCATCGATGTTTGGCGTGGGCACGCCACGCTTCCCACAACAGGGCCATCGAATCCCAAGACACCCAGGGCACCCTGAGGGCCAGCAGCGTGCTTCCTGGCATGGGCCTCCGCCGCATGGGGCGCCGCGTGCCGTGCCTCCAGAGCGCTCGGGGACGCTTTTCTTGGCAACGTTCCGGTTCTGCTGGGCCCGCCCGGCGAGTCAGAGGAAGACCCAGACCCCACGGTGACGTGATAAGGCAAGGGCCTTTTTCTGTTGGCAATCTTCGGCCTCGGGGGGGACCCAAAAAGCCCAAAAGGAATATGTGGCTACCCTCGTGCTTACGGACCGCATCCCAGAAATCATTCCGAGCACCCTGAAAAGTGTCGAAAGGGTGTCGAAACAGTGTTGGACGAGTGTCTCCAAGGGCCCGACACGTGGCAAATCTAGAATTTCAGTACTTCTTGGCGCTCTAAATTCTTTATGGTGATCAAGGCTAGGTTGGAACATCATACCCCAAGAGGGCCCCATGAGGGCTTGGATACAAGCAACGTCGTCACAGGCAGCTATACATGTTGACGTGTCTTCCTTCCCCACCCTCGGCGAAGTACGGAAGCAGATCACAAAATCGAACTGGCCGCATCCAGAAGCCAGCATCCATCAAAACCGAAAGCCAATGAGTTACAAGTGCCTGCCGCCTCCTACCCCATCCATGGTCGCGAGATTTGCTGGCTAGTTTATCGAAAAGGGCACCGCCGTTTCCCCCGTGAAGCGAGCTGAATAGGCCGACCAGCCTGAGAAGACCGCGAGCCAGCTCCATCATAGCCAGAACAAGAAACAACAAAAAGGCCACGCCCGCGCATCGCTGCGGCCTGGCTGCGTAGCTCCCACAAACGCGGTGAAGAATCTGTGCGGCAACGCAACCGTGTTTAGATCGTGAGGCGGCTGTATCTACATCTCGCAATCGCTAGATCGATAGATCGCGAGCCCCATCTAGATCTGCCTCGTCAACCTGGGGCGAAGGCTCGTGTTGGAAACAGCGAGGGGCCTCCCAAAGATTGCTTCCAACAAGGGGCCCAAGTGGTCTCGTGCTCAACCCGCTGGTCACCGGGGAAAGCCCCGTGCAGGCAGCACTCCGTCGGCTCTCCCGCCAACGCGGGCCCCCAAGACGACCACGATGGCCGCCAAGGTCGGGCCTGCCCCTCTAGAAGGGAGATCTCTAAACATACTCAAGGCAATAGTCTCGTGACGTTGTGTTGTTTCTCTATGTTTGACCATGATTGGGTATCTTCTGACTGTTTCACATCTTTTAGGGGGCCACATGCGAACCCTACCCCTACCCCCCCCACGATTTCATTTCTGAGGGGGAGGGTGGGGTTCACTTCGCTCGGGACCTCCCGAGCGAAGCAAACCCCATCCTCCCCCTCAGAAATCGTGGGGGGTAGGGGTAGGGTTCGCATGTGGCCCCCTATCTTTCCTCCAGAACCTCCGCCTGTAGGACGACGTGCCCGACTTGATTCAAGGGGAACTGGGACACACAAACAAATACACACAAATAAAAATACCCCCCCCCATATTTTCCCATATTTTCTGGGTTTCTGTCTTCCCCCCCACTTCCCATATTTTCCCATATTTTCCTGGGAGTGGACGATGAATTGTGTCTGTGTGTTTTTTCTCCTCCTGATTGATGATGGCCTGGGAACGAACAAAAAACAACTCAGAAGATTTCTCCAAGGAGGCCCGAGGCCTTCCGAGCCTACCGAGCGGGCCCCGCCCACCCCCCCCCCTCCGCACTCCCCCCCCCCCCTCCCCGGAAGCTCGCCGCCGATCCTCGGGGGGCCTCCCCGGGCCCTCGTGGAGGGCCTCTCGCGCTCGGGACCTCTCTCCCCGGGCGCGACGCCTCTGCGGAGCGCTCCCGACAACGGGGGGAGGTGAAGAGAGAGGGGGGCAGGAGAGCCCGGAACCGAAGCGACGAGTCGGGTCGGCAATCGAAGCGACGCGGATCGGCGGAGATCGGCAGGCGAGTCGGAGAAAGCCGAATCGGCGGACATCGGCCTCTGGTATGCCTCCACTTCGCCGGCCCAGCGGGTCAGAGGCGTGTTAAGATCTCCGGTAACAAGTCAACAATATAACAAGCTCGCGCGCGCGAGGCGGCCCCTGGGGCCCGACGCGACAAGTACCCCGCCAAAGTCCCGGCACGTGCCCGTCAGAGATGCTGGAGGGCCCCCAGACGGCCCAAGAGGCGCCCAAGACGGCCTCAAGAGAGCGCCCAGACGATCCAAGAGCCCTTGGAGTCCTCGAAAGATCGGCCGACGATGCCGCAAGAGCGCTCCAAGACGCCCACCATGGGCTCCAGACGCCCCCAAAGGCCTCCAAAAGCACCCCCAAGAGGGCCCCAAGAGGCAAAACTCATTGATTTGTCCTTAGGTTTTGGACACATGTCTGGGCTTATCCTTTTTCTGCTTTCCGACGCTCCAAGATGGCCTAAGAGGCTCCCAAGATCGCCCCAAGAGAGTCCAAGAGGACCCCAAGACAGCCCCAAGACGGCCCAAGATGGCCCCAAGACAGCCCAAGAGGCGCCCAAGACGGCCCAAAACGGCCCCAAGAGGGGCCCAAGAAGGTGACCAGGAACCGAACAAATCTACCCTTCAGTTCCAAGAGGCCCCCAGGAGGGCCCAAGAGGCCCCCAAGAGGCCCCAAGGGGCCTCCAAGAAGCATCCCAAGAAGCCCGAAGAGGCCCCCAAGAGGCCCCAAGAGGCCCAAACACGGCCGCCAAGATGCCTCAAAACTGCTTCCAGAAAAGCCCTTGAGAAGCCAACCACGAGAGCCCAACCAACATCCGTGAGGCCTCCGACCCGCCACCCAGCGCCTCCGAAAAATGGCAGCCGCCCAACCGCACCGCATTGACAACCAGACCCCGACTAACGACAGCGGCGAGGCAATCTGGGCCGGCGGCATGAGCGAAGCGATCAAATAAGAGATCTCAACCCACATCGGAGTCCCAAGTCGGATCGAATCGGAATCGAGAGCAATCGAAACCGAATCGAGTCGAATCGGGGGGATCGAAACGAGCCCCGAAAGGGGGGGGATAAAGAAACCAGGAGTACGAAGGTTGGGTGCGTGCACCTGCTTCCTCGGCCCCGCCGCGGGGCGCAGTCCTGGACGCACTGGCTGCTGAGGCGTAGGGGGGCGAAGGAAACAGCCAGCGCTGCGTGAGCTGATTCGGTACCCCCCACCTTTGCTATCTCGCCCCTGCGTCCGACCCCCAAGGCGGGGGAGAAGGGGAGGAGGCGATGCGGGAGGGGGCGAGGAGAGCGGAGGGAGAAGAGGGCGAGAGGGAGAGAGAGGGGAGCGTGGAAGGCATAGGGGGAGCTTCGTCGAGGACCCTCGAGCCAAGCAGCGCTGGCCAGTGGCGACCAAACGGCGTACTCTTCCCGTGAGCTTCCAGCCTCGCGCCTCGGGCGGGCGCGGGCGAGCGGCGGAACGGGGCGATCTCACCGAGGAGAGGCAGCACGAGGACGACCACTAGGACGCTGGCGGCGCGCCCACGGGGGCAGCCGCCGACTTACCACCAACATCCACCAGGAGGAGGAGGAGGAGGAGGAGGAGGAGGAGGGAGGAGGAGGAGGAGGAGGGGAGAGGAGGAGGAGGAGGAGGAGGAGGAGGAGGGAGAGGGAGGAGGAGGAGGAGGAGGAAGGAGGTAGGAGGAGGAGGAGGAGGAGGAGGAGGAGATGCGAGGGGCCCTCTGAGAAGGCGGTGGCTTGTGAGGAGGCAGGGGCCTTCTGAGAAGGGCCTCGCGGCTTTTAAGACGTTTGCAGAAGACAGACGGCTTCCAGCAACCCGGAGGAGGCGGAGGAGGAGGAGGAGGTGGAGGAGGAGGAGGAGGAGGAGCGGAGGAGGAGGGGAAGGAGGAGGAGGAGAGGAGGAGGAGGGAGGGGAGGAGGAGGAGGGAGGAGAGGGAGGGAGGAGGGAGGAGGAGGAGGGAGGAGGGAGGAGGAGGAGGAGGAGGAGAGAGGAGGAGGAGGAGGAGGAGGAGGGGGAGGAGGAGGAGGAGGAGGAGGAGGAGGAGGAGGAGGAGGAGGAGGGAGGGATGAGGAGGAGGAGGAGAGGAGGAGGAGGAGGAGGAGGGAGGAGGAGGAGGAGGAGGAGGAGGGAGGAGGAGGGAGGAGGAGGAGGAGGAGGAGGAGGAGGAGGAGGAGGAGGAGGAGGAGGGCTTCTCAGAGACCACCTGCCTTCTTGGAAGCCCACCCCCGCCTTCTTGGGAGGCCGCCCCCCTGGCGCCACCCCCATCAAGGGCACCATCCGGGAAGGGAAACGGGGAGGAACAACGCTGCCAGTCGGCAGTCCGGCCATTCTCGCACCACGTGCCGGCAGGGGCGCCCGGCAGGGTCTTCAAAAGCTAAGCCCGTTTCCACTCTTGCTTCGCGGAGTTGCCGCCGAATGGATGCCCAGCGAGATTGTCGTGGCCAACCGCATCACCACAAACGACCCCCCGAGCATCGCCATCAGGGTGGTGACGAAGTCGTACCACTTCCTCGGGTCGCGCTTGATCCGTATGGAGTAGGGCTCTATGTCGTAGTGGAACTGAAGCTGGGGGATGTCGTCCTCTTCCAATTTGATCAGCCGCTTCTGGTGGCTAATCTGATAGGCTACTTTCTCGTCGACGTTCACCGTGCGCACCACTTGCATATCGTGGATCCAAGCCTGGTGGAAGTCCGTGGTCACAAAATCCTTCGAGTCGATCGGGCTGATATACTCGACGACATCCTTGGGAAAGTTTTTCCACCCCTTCGCATAACGCTTGCCGTCGACCACATCGGAGAAGGCGAAGTGCTTCACCAGATGCGAAACATTGGTCATCCTGCTGATCAGGTCTCGCAAAAGGGGTCCGAGCGGCGGGGTCGGAGGATCAGGCCGCATCACCGATGCTTGACGAGGCATTGGCGACGTCACCGCTGAGAAAATCGGGCTCTACCTCACGGCGCATCGGATACCCAGACATGCGATGTCTTGATTTTGTCCCCGAAGTCCCGACCGCTTGCCTGGTGAGTGTTTCCTTATTCGGAGTTTCGACATCGAGCGAAAAAGGGGGGTCTGGCTCCGGACCTCCGCTTAATGCGATGTTTCGCAACCGTGCGTCCCATGGGGAGACTCCACCTGCTCGAAACAGGCGCCAAAAACAGCCAAGATCTACTCCATGGAGGGGGGGTGCGAGGGCTGGCGCCGACCGGCAAAACAGTGAATCAGAAAACGATCACCTGGGGCCGGTCTTTCGCCCCGGATTGTTTTGGCTGGTCCTGGGGCCCAGCGTTAGGCCGGGCATGTCCTCCTACAGGTGGATCCGGGTCGAACAAATAAAAGTACCCCAGGAAATATGCAAACATACAACAAAGATTCAAACAAAGGTCCCAAGACTATGTTTTGACTAGGTTTGAATCTTCCTCCTGTAGAGGGACAGGCCCGACGTAAGCCCAGCGAGGGCCCGCGGAGGCCGAGCGCCCCGAAAACCTTCCGGCGCGGTGTCTTCGCCGCGCGGGCACGTCTGGGCACGCCGCGGCGTTGCGGCGCCATCCTCCGCCGCGTCGTGCCCCGGCCCCGCCTGGGAGGCCTGGGGCTGTTGAGGTCCTGGTCGCCCCCGCCCACCGCGAGCTCCAGGTGCCCCGGCTGGCGAGGGACGTCGAGAGTGCCCCTGACGACGCATCCCCTCTCGAACTCCTCGTGGTGCGAGACCCACGCGTACGCTTTGCTCTTCTCAGAAGGAAGAAAAACAAACACCACGAACATAACCTTGTGGCGCTCCGCGCGGATTTCTTGGATCCGCGCTGGGCCCCCCAGCGGCGCCTCCAACGCCGCCCCTGGCGCGCGGAGCGCGCCAGAGAGGGGGTCCACCGCAGAACCCAGGAAATCCGCGCGGAGCGCCACAAGTTTATTTTTATGGCGTTTTTTCTTCTTCGATCTTCACCGCCTTTTCTACCCAGAGCAGCAGCTCACGCTCGTTCCGCCCGCCCTCATAGAGCGAAAAATTCCCCTCGGCGTTGTACAGCCGGAGTGTTGGGTACGCGTCGATGCCCAAGTGCTGGCATTGTTCCCTAAAATCTACGCAATTCAGCTTTATCATGCGGACCTTTCGAGTGTGGTCGCCGGCGTCCTTGAACTCTTTCTCGTTGACGGTATTGGCTAAAGATGCCCAGGTCGGTGCGAACTTCTGGCAGTGGCTGCACCAGCCGGCGAAAAAGTTTATGAAGGTGAAGTCGTGCGCCTGGACCACGTGCTCGAAGCTCTGGTGCCTGAAACCGTCGTGCGAGCTGCTCCAGTCGGAGTCCAGCTCTGCTTCGCCGTCCTCGGCGATCACCTTCTCCATCCCTTTCCTGTGCTGTACCTCGCCAGCGTCGTCGTCCCCGTCGTCGCTGTAGCGCTGAGTCCGGGCGCCGCCGCCAAAGCGGACCACCTTCCCGTCCGTGTGCACGGGCCGCAGCACGTATTCCCGCCTCTGGGCCAGGTTCTCCTCCGTGCCACGCGCGAGCACGGACACCTTCAGGTGTCGGCACTCGATGTCATACAGCTGCACGTCGAAATTGATCCGAAGCGCTCCTTCGTCGTACGCGCTCATCGTGAGCAGGGTATGATACGCAGAAGAGTGCAGGGGCTCGACAAAGGATCCGACCTCCGAGACGACCACGAGAAACATCAAGGCGTACGCCGACAGTGTGAAGATGCCACCAGCCTGGGATGCCTCCACAAAATCTTGGGGCAACCATCGCACCGCCGTGCTGGCCAGCATTGCTCCCCCATGCGGGCAAGATGTATCTCCATACCCATTGCGTCTCGGACTTTCTGGGAAGAGGCAGGCGCAGTGGAGATGGATGCAAATCTAGCCTCGAGGGGCCAGGTTTTAATCAAAATCTACTCCGCCTCGGGTGACTGGGGAAGCAAGCTCGAATCTCCAAGATGCAGTGGACATGGGCATACATCTTGCCCGCACCCCAGGCGTCCCTTCTGAGCTCAGTCGACGTCAGAGCCCACTCGGCCGCCGCAGGGGCCAGCGGAGGTCCGCCGCAGCCGCGCGGCGACCGCCGCAACCACGCCGCCGCTGTGGCAGGCACCCGCCAAACCCCAAAACGAGCCGAAGTGTCTACGGAGTGGGTCCATCATACTTTCGCCAGCCTTCCTCGGATGCGACAGACTGACAGTAGGCATGACAAGCTCAAGCGGAAGCAATCTGTGCACTCAGGGGCGCCCGGGATCCACGTCTTCGGCGAAGCTCCCCGGCGAATGAGTGTACGTATTGAGCAGGGACCGACCGCTCCCGCATTCCTATAGGCCTGCCACGAACTGTTCCCAGAACCCAAACATGTCCGAATAGCAAGAACCAGGCTCTTAGAACCGAAGCCCGATGTGTTTCAACAAGGCGGTCCCAGCCAGAACTGTTCTGAGAACATTCCGTGGAAACCACAAGAGGTTCCTAGAACACTGTGTGGTAGTCCTACAAGCACGCCGGGACGCTTCGCCACCGCCTGAACGTAACAGTGCCCGCCCCTGGGCCATCTGCCCTCCTCGCCAGCATCTCCGCGCGCAAGCCTCGCGGCATCTCCTGCCCGCCATGGCCCCCTCCGCCGCCCCCGGCCTCTCCCACCGGTCTTCGGTCGGGCGTGTCCCCCTACAGGCGGGCTTTGGACCAAGATAAAGGCACTCAAACAACTACCGAAAGCTTGTCAGAAATGCTCCGCAAATGCGTCCCCATACTATTTTTTGACTATTTTTGAATGTTCCTCCTGCAGCGGGACATGCCCGACTTAACACCAGTCATCCGCCCCCCCGACTCCGAACGCGCGAGTCTTGGTCACAGGGAAATTAGGACACACAAATAAATACACACAAATAAAATTATTCCCCATATTTTCCCATATTTTCTGGGTTTTTGTCTTCCCCACCACTTCCCATATTTTTGCATATTTCCCTCCTGATTGGTATCCTTTCAGTGCGAGGCCCCAGGGCCACTGTTGCTTCCATCGCAACTTGTCGACGGGGCCCGACCGTGGCCCCTGGAGACTGACATGTCGGACGCCTCTCGTCGTATTTCTTCACGCGTCTCGTCTCCCACCCTCCCCATAACAGGGGATGTGTCGACCCGTATCCCAGGCTTCGTGGGGTTTCCAAATGGACCAGAAATTTGGGGCCCAACCCTGGGATATACGATGGTGGGGGTGTCCATGCTCGGTAGGGGTGCGTCCGAATGGCCCTTTTGGGGTGTATCCCAAGGTTTTCCCATTTTTCTGAGCGGCGAAACTTTTCGGGCGAAACTCGGGGATTGGGGGAGAAACATCGCCCGCGACCCCAACCCTCGCCCATGGGTGAGCCGTCATCCAGGCCTCTGTGGACCTCCGAAGCCCTATCACAAACGTGACGTCGACTGGACTTCGTCCAGGTTTCGACCCCCCCTCTTCACCGTCCAGATGATGACCAAATTTCGACCAAGTGCCAACCACATCCGACAAAGTCTGGGCGACATCCTCCAAATCGCAAGGAATTTAGGATCCTCTGAGGCTCCCATGCATGAAGGACCACAGCATCGTTAGGTCGGGCATGTCCTCCTACAGGCGGATTGTGGAAGAAAAGCGGAAACATCAAGAAATGCTCAACAATAGGCAAAACAAGTAGAAGAATCGTCCCCAGACTATTTCTTTACTATTGGCGGGACGGGACAATGACCACAGCCACTGCTTCTTGTTTGCGCCGCCTTGGAGTAGGCCGAAAAAAACAAGCAGTGGTTGTGGTCATTTCCCTGGTGCCAAGCTTAACGAAAATGACCACAACCACTGCTCTGTTTCTGCTGGCTGAAAGGCGGCGACAAGAGAAAAGCAGCGGCTGTGGTCGCTTCCACGCCCCGTACTAGTTTTGAATCTCCTGGAGGGGGACACGCCTGACCGAAGACAATCGCCCACCACCTCCTCGACCTGTCGGGGGCCCCCCGGCCCGGGGAGCAGGGCCGGGCGTGGCGTGCGGCCCCCGACCCACCCGTACCCCCCTCCTGCGGCGCGCGGGCGTCCTTCTCTCAGGCTTCCTTGGCCGCTGCTCGGCGACGAGCCTCCTCCTCCTCCTCCTCCTCCTCCTCCTTCTCCTCCGCCTCCTCCTCCTCGTCCTCCTCGTCCTCCTCCTCCCTCTCCTGCTTCTCCTCCTCCTTCTCCTCCGCCTCCTCCTCCTCCTCCTCCTCCTCCTCCTCCTCGTCCTCCTGCTCCGCGGTGCTCTGGAGCGGGGCGGGCGGCCCGTTCCTCGCCCCGCCGTCGGGGGGAGTGCAGAGGGGGCGGGTCTGCTCAGCAGGCTTGAATAGAAGAAGAAACAGAAACGAGCAAACGTAAACTTCTTGCGCTCCGCGCGGATTTCTTGGATCTGCGCTGGATCCGCCTCCCTGGCGCGCGGAGCGCGCCAGGGAGCGGCGCCCGAGGCGCCGCCGGGCGAGGTGGGCCATCGGGCCACTACCGGTGATCAATGGGCGATTTGGGATCGATGCATCCCCCCCGTAGCAAATTCATCCTTCACGTTGCCCCCGACCTTCCGCTCTCTGGTTCTCGGGCCACAGCTCGGGCTTCTGGCGGCCGTCTGGGGTGATGCGGGCATCCCCAGGAACGCACTCGGCGAGGTGAAGCTGCCGGAGGGCACCCCACGGCTGGGACACCACCGAGAATCGACGAGAACATGCGAGAACCTGTGCCCCCTGGGCCCCCCCCCATATATACTTGTCACGGCACCGACCTTGCAGACGTGCAGCGGATCTTTGCGTGGATGTCTGTCAATGTTAAACCCCGAAGCGGCGAGCAAAAAACAACATGATTTTCGCGTGGATTTCTCCTGGTCTTCACTCGGGGCCAAGAGAACTCCGCACGACATCCACCTCGACATCTGGAACGAAGTTCTCCAGGACACTCCCCGGACCCATCCCACTGGTTTCCGAAGGAATTCCGCTCTGCGATGCGCTGTCGCCATGACACTTGCTGCCCCAATGACCCCCAGCACGCCTCCAAGCCGTGTCCCCGCCCCTGGCGGTTTCTTCAGCCCCCTCGGGCGCGCACGGCGCGGCGCGAGAGTCGCGGCCGGGCCCGGGCGGCGGCCGGTGCGGGGGGCTGAGAAGGGAGGAGGAGGAGGAGGAGGAGGAGGAGGAGGAGGAGGAGGAGGAGGAGGAGAAGAAGAAGGAAGA